GACATAAATACTCGCTAAATGAGCATATAGAAGAAATTGGTTATAAGTGAATCTGTGATAAGTACAAAATGTCCGAGTTATTTAAAAAATACCACGCGATACAATTACGCAAGTTTACCACAATTTGCATGAGCGACGTGTGCAAGTTGGGAGAAGATTATCAAGTACGCAGAACAAACCAAATAAAGTGGAGTGAATTTTATCCACATTAAAAAGACTTAGTTTAAGTGTAAGTTGGGTTACCCCAACTGCGGTGAAGAAGCATCATGAATGCAACATCAGCCTTAGCATGGTGCTCAGTGCGTATGTTCGTCCCAATGTCGAATAAGCAATTCAGGCGTGGCAGCCATGGTTAAAGTACGACCTTACTTCACTTAAGCGGCCTCAACGTCGAGTATCTAAATACGTCATCGGAATGAGCAATTTATCATACGAGCAAAGACTGGAACGTTTGGGAGTGTTTAGCTCATGGTATCACCGAGTACGCGGCGATTTGATAATGGCATACCTGATTCTAAACAACCCAAATCATGTGTGCGGAGAGAAGGACTATTGTGTTAAAAACGATAAGTCCATCCTTTTTACAGTAAAATTACCAACTGCCATGTTGAAGTACCTGCCTGATCAAGTCTCTCGGTCATCTGGGTAGCAGCCCACAAACTTAGACATGATAGAGCAATATATAGATCACCGAGGTTACATAGTCTAGGTGCATTGACATGCATCGGTAAGCTGCACGGTACCCAAACGGAGGCCTTTGCTACAAGCAATAAGCTCGGTGTGCAATAGCACCTTGACCGATGACAAATTTGTTTATGAACGACGTATCGGAGACCCCAATAATCTCTTACTTATGGGTCCGGTGTGGATTGGAGAACATTTGCAGCAACGGCGCCAATCTGTAGGCCCTAATTTACGCATCGGATACCCCAACATTATCACTGTGTTCGGAGTGGCGCAGACTGCTGAAGAAGCGGGCGATTCCCATAGAATTAAGTTCGCCCCGCCGCATTATTGGCACCATTCGTTTGGAGGCCGATTTAGTCTTCAAGTCATGTGCAATCGATGATACATATATTTACACAAGCAGGGTTAGACGGACATTGATATCATTCTGACAACAGTACAGAAATCACCTGATGCAGTTAACAAGCACTTTCTGCAACGTCACCGTCATGATGGTATGGCATTCATTCACAACATTCGGCTGCAATTGCCCGAGTGAGATCGACTTGTTTCTGTAAACCCTTCGTTTCTAATATCCCCACAGAAAAAATCCAGCGGGTTTCAATCGAGTGACTGTGCGGGCCACTCGATGGTGCCTCCACGACCGATCTAACGTTGGACGAATTCCTCGCAGAGATATTCTTACACCGATTGAGCATAATGTGCTGGCATACCATCATGCTGCAAACATATGGTACTGCGAACTCCGTCCGCCTCCAACTGTGACAGTACACTAGTTTGGGGCAATTCCTTGTGCGACGACGCTAGCAAAAGTAAGGGTTGGGTAATATAAAACAACTTACGGTCACGTTCCTGGAAAAGCAAAATGGTCCAACTCTTTTCTGACCAGTATTTCCAGCCCAGACCATCAGCTTGGCGCTAAACTGAGTACGTGACGCTGCGTATCTGCGTGGATTTGAACTAGCCCAGAAATGTTTGTCCGTTCCATGCAAATGGAAAACGGACTCATCCGTAAACCTTACGGAGTGAATGCACATGTGATCCGAAAGCCAACGTCAAAATGTATTCCGTTTATCCGGATTGTTTGCATACAATACCTGAACCTGGAGTGTACGAACTCGACGAAGATTGTGTTCTTTCCAAATCTGGACCGCGTAGCTGGTGACGTCACAATGCTGGGCGATTCTACGTATGCTGAGATCTGGCCTCCCAGATACTTCACGTACAACGGTGCAAGCTGCAATATCTGCAGTACTAGTGCGAGGCCGCCCGGATTTTCTGGCGTCGCACACACTCCCAGTTTTGAAGCACGTAACGGCCGCTGACGGGTAGGTTTCCAGCATTTAAAGTGTTATCTCTTCGAGCTGTTTTGGCGGCGTTTAAGTGACATTGGCCATACAGCTGAATAATTTGAACGCGCTGAGTCTCAGTCACGCTACGGCATTCCGGTTGCAGGAGCATCACCGACGACAGTGTAAACTCGTGTTCCATTCCAAAGACAGCGACCAACTGATAAATGACATGAATGCCACCGCTTATCTTGGTCCGCGAAGCATTCTGTCCTCAAACACGGACCAGAAGGTATCGATCGTTCAATTATCCGTAGTCTGCGCCTCATCGCGTGCAGCGCCGTACAATTTGGGGTACGCAGACGCCGCGCTTGTGTGCGTAGTGCATCGTGTGAGATCCGATTGGATCTCCGGACTGCTGTTAGAATTCCTCGGGGTTTTCTCGCGGCAATTTATGGTGCGTCAATGAAAATCGGCAGACACATCCCGGACGCACCCTAGCTTGTGAGCAGCTGGGAGGAAAACATTACAATAAAACAATTCACCCACTCATTAGTAATATAACATGTAGCCTCTTCTAGTTTTAAATGCTATGGACGTAGCGTGTAGTGATAGGAAGTCATGATCTTCGGATGCTATCCACTGTCATCTTCTAAGGAAGTAACCTGCGTGGCAGTGAAAGGTAGGTCCGTGCTATATCCCAGTTAGCTAGCAAATTGTGTAGTCCAGCCGATGTCCCCCATGGCTCGGTGGCTTAAGCTGCTCGCTAGTTGGCGTCTGCCTCTAACGATTGTGGGTTTGATCCCCAGTACGAGATGGAGGGAATGCGCACCACTGATGAGCCACAATATGGAGGAAAGGGTCTGGTGATTTTCCGGATTAAGCTGCGCTATGTAGCTTGTGAGCGGCTGGGACGAAAACATTACAACTAAAGAAATAATCCTACTTATTTGTAAAAACACTAATTATCTGAATGCAGATGTGCAAAGCGCTATGTAGATTCTGTATGGGATTCTTGGGGATGTTTTGGAATAAGGATCGCCGTTCTCTATACTAGTAGCCGAAGCAGTGATGCCGGCGCTAGGACGGATAGCACTTCTAATTGCAAAACCGAACTTTTGGGTACGCTACGTAGACGACACCTTCGTCATCCTCAAACGCTCCAAATTAGAGGAGATTCATGAGCTACTCAGCAGTGTGTTCGATGGCATCCAATTCACAAGCGAAGAGGAAAACAATGGGTAGCTGCCATTATTATACTTTCTCATACGTAGGACTGGTTCTGGACGCCTAGAAACCACGGCTGCCGAAAATCAACACGTACGGACCAGATCCTCAACTACAGCAACAATCATGCGGCAGTCCTCCAACGCAGCTGCGTGCTAACCTTTTCAAACGGGCACGGACGCATTGTAGCACGCAGCAGCCGAGGCAGGCTGAGGAAGACCATCTCTTCAGCCTGTTCAAACGGAATTCTTACTCAAAAGGCTTCATTCTGCACTGTTTGGCCCCAAATAAGGCAACACAACACACCTCAACTAATGCAACGGCTGAAAAACGAGCCATGTTGCCTTACGTCAACGGAATCTCTGAAACGGCAGCGAGACTTCTGTTGTCCTTGGGAGTCAAAATTGCCCGCCAACCAACAGAAACAAATCAGAATAAACTTTTCAAAGTGAAAATTAAATTTAGCCAATAGGAAACACCTGGTGTAATTTACTAGATCTGCTGCCGAGACTGATAAATACTACATAGGACAAGCAACAAAGAAGCTTAGCACACGGCTACGTAAACATGGCCTAGCAATCCGCCGCCATCATCAGAACTTTTTGATTTCCGTGCATCTGAATGCCGAAGGCCACCGAAATACTCGGAAGAGCCACAAGCCGGCAAGCACGTGCGTTTATTGAGGCCTGATATTCAAAGCAGAACTCGATCGATAAGCACATAGATCTCGAAGTTACTTACGGGGCTCTGAGAAACAGGACCTTAAAGTCGCACTGGCAATTTTGCTTAGTTTGGTAGCAAAACGTCTGCAAAATTATCCTTCAACTCGGAGAGCAGTGCAATACCCATCAGGATATCACGTCCTTAGATAGACACTCCAGTTTGTAGTTGAAATCGAAGTTCTCTTCGGTGGTTACGCTATCTCTTTGTTTCGGAGCTTCCGCTATGTGGGAGTTTTCAGTGGAAGCTGCCTACCCGTAGCCTTAAGAATCACAAGTTTACCTTGTAATCCGTGCGCACGGATTTTAGCGTGCGTAGGGACCGGGCGACTCTCGTATTATCATTAGCTCACGTGCGACTGGTAGTGGTTGCGCGGCAGCAAAGCGTCAGTACTGTGTACCGCTGTGTACTGTGTACTACTGATGCCATTGGACGCTATCGGTGTTTGTGTAGTGACCTTGCCGTTTATTATTAAATTTTAAGCTAGCCAAATCACGCGTGCTGTCACCTGTTCAAGCTGAGGCATAACAGCAAAACGAGAGACCGCCATCTCAAACAGCCAGAAGAATACATCCGGGTGGGGTGTATACAGAATTTCTTCTCGCTACGTGTTTGCTACACATGGGATTTCCTTCCAACACGGTTATTTTAGATCCCACATTGGCTATGTTGAAAGATGATGTTAACTGTGCTCTGTCCTTATTACACCACATCATATAGCACATACGACCGTTACGAACATCATATAAGCAAACCACACGAATTTAGCTGGGAAAATCAAGAGCGGTAGCTTTGCAACTTGCATAGAACCATATGTGAACGACTCGGACGGATAACATTTTGATCGGCGGGTTCGCTGTTTGTGTTTGCTGTTCTTCTTGAAACTCCTGACCGACCATCCGACTGGACATAACAAGCGTCGATTTTTTGTCCGCAATATATCATTGACCATTCACCGCGGTGCAGTTTGGCGTTCGTCCATTGGATATGAATGCACCTATTTTTACTATCAATTCAGTGCTCCTCACCACTGTCGTTTTTTCTCTTCTTTTTGCCATGCTCCACCCACACATACAGTTGGACAAGCTCACCCATGAGCAGCGCATTAAAGTGAATCAACTTCTCAGTCAGGGAGTCCCATTGTCCAACGCGATCAGCGAATTGGAGTCTCACGGATGGGATGTGCAAGAAGCACTGGTCTCGTACGTGTCTAACGAGAATAGAACCTGATTTGGCTCCTCTTGATCCATTGCTGCCACTGCTGTCTCCGTCTTGGAGGATCTTGCGCCTTCACAGATGTGCCACACATATCTGAGCTTTCATGTCTTCAATTGGATGATCCACCCCACGCTTTGTGTTTCATCCTTTAGGTCCAAGTCTGATTATGTCTTTGACCTTTTGTGTTTGACGGAAGATTTTCCATTGCTTTGTGCTCTTTCAAGGACACCAACAGGCTGCATATTTTGTGACATCTCCCACATGTGTTCCAATCGTATTTATGTGAGTTCCTTATTTTGTTGAACAATTTGTTTTTTCTACAAAAATCAACTACCTTTTTCCGTCGGGGACATCTTTTAATCGGTTTCTGTATCTTTTCAGTGTAAAGCCAACGTATTGCGATGGCTTATGCTCAACATACTAGTCACTGTTTTGAGAAATGTTACATTTCTTTTCACACTATGATTCGTCATTATCCTTGTGTTCTCGTAATTCCTCTACTAGGCCGTGTTCACAAGCCTGTCTGTTCAGGGCGACGGAATGGATACTTTTGGCTATCAATCTCCACGTCCCTGGTTCGAGTGCTCGCTCCTGCATTGCTTTGGGCATCCTTGCTCCAGTATCGCAGCTCGCATCCATCCGCTTGCTTAGTCGTCAAAAACATTTTGCAAAGTTTTGTCTCGCCAGTCCGTAGTCTTAAGGATCACAAGCCCCCCTTATAATCCGTGGGCGTGGTTTCGAGCTTGCGACTCGGAGTATCTTTAGCACATGTGCGGCTGGTGGTGCTTGCGCGGCATCGAAGCGTCAGTTCTGCTTGCTGGCGTACTGGTGATGCCTTGTCTTACATCCGTTTGCGGTCTCCCCACATCAAGGCATCAATACCACATACTGGTACACTGTCTATAATTATTTTGCTGCTGCAGTGAATTGAGTGGACAGCATATTATCGTGAGTGGGGTCACATGTTTAAGATAGCTAACATTCCTTCCTATGTCCACAGATTGACTAAGGTATTCCCCGCATGAATTCACGAGTATTTTCCCATCTCCTGCCATCACGTTTCTATCATTCATGTTTCCTGTAGTATATCTGCTGAGAAAGAGCTCTGTCCTTAGTAGAAAATTTTCGGTGTTGTTCGCTCTCTACACTACATTATTCATCACCATTCTATAGGTCAGCCGGGAGTAAGAATTACCTCAACTGTACAAATAGATAATAAGTACAATTAGAGTGAGATACATAATATGCAGTACAAGATAAAAACTAATACTATTATCTTTCGTTTTGTACTACACATTGAGAGTGAGATCGTGGTTGGAGGGTTGGGGACAAAGTAACAACGTGAACTCCACCAACCTCGGCTTGTTAAGGGAGCCTGCCCATAGCAACCTTCGGAGCTTGCCCCCCTTCGCTACTAGTCCGGAGCAGCTTGACCCTGACGCATATTGGCCAGCCAATGAGAGGTAGTCTATGAGAACGCTTCACCTTGAGGGCTACCGATGAGAATGATGTACCTTGAAGCCGTGAGCGCATTATTTCGGAAACCAACAAGCACCTAGTAGTTGCTTAACATTAGAAAGACCGCTCCGCCGTTATACCTAGAACGCCCGGGATCGGTCAAAATGACCGCATTACGGTATTTCTCTATCTTGACTTTTAGGTACAATTTTTTCAATATACTTGTTGGAAACAATGTGCAGGACATCTCTGTAATTGAACTTTGTATTGAACTAATTTTTTCAAAACTTGCAAATAATTGTACTTGCTTATTCAGATTCGCATTTGAAACAGGTTATAACTCTCAATCTGTCTACATGAGCCACAAACTATTTTTTCACATACAGCGCACTGGGCTTTTGCCTTGCTGCCTGTACAGTATCCAATCTGACACTGCCAACTTTCCAAATGCGCTGAGTTGTCCGGCGTGAGCCCAGTTGTCCCTTGTATGGTGTATGGATCCACCCAGTTGTACCGCAAGACCCATCAGATACGACCGGCGGGATAATTTATTTCCGGAGACACTATTATAAATTATCCAGGAATTAATGCCAGCCAAATCCAGCACGTTGAAGAATACTTGGACCAACCACCGTCGAGATGATGACTTGACTGTGAGTGCTCTTGTCGAGTATATCTACCCCATACTTCGTGGAGTTGTAAAACAATACAGTCTCAGGCTTTTTCTTTTTAGAGTATTGAATGGCAGAGTTACTGTACCAGGAACTGAAAACCAAAACCTTTTTGTTCCTTTTACAGTGGCGGGATGTTAATGTGTGCTTAATTTTATTTTCTATTGCGGTCAACGATCGATACGTGAACTTCCCTGGAAGATGCAGAATCGGCTGATACACTCTTAGTACTGTCCTCATGAGGAGTGTCACCGTCAGAACTTTGACTATCAAGGATGATGTGATCTACTGCCGACTCCTGGAAAATGAAGTCACATTCATTCTCGTCTACAGACTCGATAATAATCGATAGCTGTAAGTTCTCGTAAAACCTCAAAAGCTGTTCTCCTCAATGGCAATGAAATTTATCAGACCGAACGCACAACATCAGTAGGAACTCGCGAACCGTCTAGTTTTCACTCCCGTTGTGACTGATATTCCATGTAACTTTGTCAGAACTAATAGTGACGGTTAATATTAAGAAACGAAACAGAATTAGAGGAAAGCGGTCATTTTGACCGCATCCTTGGTAGTACGAACACAACTATTTCTTTTCTCGAAACCCGGAACATATATGAAAATGAAGCTTCACAGTTATGAAGGACGTCTAAATATTGGAAGTCACGAAATATCTTTGAAAAATGTTTACTAATTTCGAAACTATGCACATTTAGCAACACTGTGCGGTCAAAATAACCGCTCCGGGCGTTCTAGTGTTGAATCTAGGAATTTCCAGCTGGGACATTCTATTAAGAATTATTTATTTGACCCCATTTTTTGCTTTTGCATGCTGCTTGCCGGGTATTCAATAAAGAGGCATTTATCTTCTGATGTAGGGAGTCGGTCGACCTAGATTGCACTGCAACAGCATGTCATTCATACGATCAGCGGAGACCACATCACTGCTCTTGGTCATGTCAAAAAGTGCATTTAACTCGAGATATTCATCGTCCTTGTGATCCGGTCTGATAATCGGGAGTCATCAACCGAGTCCAAGTTTAAGGTGAGAGCCTTTGTTCCTCTTGACTACGCTTTCGATGGCCTTTTCTCCCATCCACATCCTGGCCGCGCAAACAATGGATGTCGCGGAAATCGGGGTGCGTAGCACACCAAGTCATTGGAGCTTGATGCTGGGCGGTTCACTAGCTCTTCCTGCACCGAATACGCTCAGTGTTCACGCGGTGTTTCCACCAGATGTGAACCAAACTGCGAAGACGCCAGCGACCGAACATATTCAACCTACTTGCGTCTTTCGATCTGAAGGACAAGTTTTCGAATCTGTACATAAGGGTTGAATGAACTGCTGCATTCTAAACTCCACCTTTAAAAGTAAACTTGATAAAGTGCTGACGTCATAAGCGGTTATGATTCATAACAGCACCCCGAGATATTGCTACTCGGTTTGTGACGTTATCCTTCATTTCCACAGACTCCGATACAGCTGCACGTATAGTTGAAATTCTAAACTACTTCCAACTGATTCTCACCACGATTCGGTGCAGGGGTCGGCCCCTACTAGTCCTTCAGAGAATCTTGTATTTGGAGGGTGCAAAGCACATCACGAAACATCTGACAAACAGCGTTAGTCTGTGTAGTACTATTTGGCACGTTTGTGAACTTTCAGCTATTAAAACAATCTCATCTGGATACTCTAACTCAAAAGTCGATCACATGGAAGCAGTTCGACACCCAAGTCGTGTCTTTTAAACTTATTTGCAATAACTTCGTCAATAGCAAAGTTAAGAAGGGAAAAGCGACAGCTGGCATTCCTGTCTCGCACTGCTGAAGATATTAAATAGCAGTGACAGTTTACCATAAGCTCTAGCTGTGCCCGAAAATCGCGTAAAGCGCTGTTGTGGTATTTACGTGTTCCTCGAGCACACATTTCCTGAGCAGATAGCCTCATAGGGCACATCGATCAACCGAATCGAATGTCGAGCAACACGACTCGGGTAGGTCGCCTGATGATGCCATACGTACAAACAATGTTGCGACTAAATTGCGATGCAAACAATGCTATTTGAGGAGGAGGCCGAGACGGGAGTGTTGATAACAAATAAACATAAGATGTGCTACGTACAGTGCATTCACTTGGCCAAGCCCACCTGAAGAAGTGTATTGAAAAAGACATATAACGTTGACGAAATCCATTCACCCGACCGTCTTTACTTTACTCGGATATGCATAACTCACAGATACACCAATAAGTGTGGAAGGTAGAGGAATTGCAAACCGAGATATAGATGGCCATTTTCGTCTCAACTCTTCATATTCTACTTACTCAGCCACGCCTACCTTGCACCCCTACCAAAACTGTGAGCTGCGAAGGAAACACTGACTGAATCTAACCATCTTCATTCGCTTTTGCTATTCGTTCTTCCCTTACTTTTCTATGCTTCCCATGTTGATCTCATGTAAACATGTCAGGCAGCAAGATGAGGCTACCCGATTCTGTCTCCAACATCATCCCTATTCCCAAAATTTCTCTTACACCTAGCGTACATTTATACCAAAACGCATGAAACACTTGACAAGTGTCAATCATGTTCGTCTCAAACACAACAGATAAATCTCCCAACCTATATGTCTCGGCCAATATGTACAGCTGCTAAATGAAACTAAATACCACCGTCTTTCACGAAACGTTTTTGTAACGTCACAATGTATACTAAATGATTAACCTAAATCTGATGCTCTGTTCAGTAAGCATGAGTTCAACCTTAATGTTTCACCTATCACAACGATTGCTCCTCGTCCTTTACATAAGGAAATGAAAGCTTCGTTCCGTCCGTACACGGAGATCGTCAGGATGGCATGAATTATTCTGTGCCCAAAAAAACTTCGAACTGCAAAATCCTGGAGGATAAGATACGATATTTGGAATATGCTGTTACTATTGTACGGAACAATCGTAAAACTATCATCGTGCCGAAAAGGGCATGTCTCGTAAACCCGAGAATATACATTATTATTATTATAAGCGGCGATCCCACCTTTGACGTGAATTGAAGATATGGTCAATGCGACCTCGAATTCGGCGAAACGCAGCTTATTCTCCACCAAATTGGCTCTCTTGGGTTTCAGTCAGTTCATGGGGAACGATAGAGGCAAGTAACTTAGAAGCCATGGAGATTAGACAGATCCCCCAACGATTACAGCATTCCGAGCGTGAGCTTCTGTCTTGAAAATTGGGACTCCATGGGGCACCTCCAGTAGGATGCGACAGCTGCCTGCTCCCTGTGCAAATTATCCACAAGAGCAGTTTCCTCGAAGTTGATGAGCGCTGGATAAAGTCTGTCTGCAGTCT